ACATTGTTTGTTGGACTAATTCTATTTTCGGGTGCTCCAAAAATAATTTCCTAACTTAATTGAGAAGCATAACACCATCTTCTTGGCAACATTAAATAATGAGAGGATACATGAAAGAAAACATTTCGGCGCAGAATCATGTCATGCCCTTTTTTACGGAACGAGGATAAAGATGATCCTTTAATCATATTCGTTTAGTGTGAATCATACAGTCAGTTTTGTTAAATACTATTTGTATTTAATTTTAAATAAATTTTTTAAAATGATTTGTAACCGTACTATTTATGATGAATGAACACGATTAAAAGATTCCTAAAATCTTCACAAAAAAAATCCGAAGAAAATCCTCATTTCTCTTTTCATATGTAGTTGTTTTGGCCTTGCCATGTATAAGCATACGAGTCTTGGTTAGCTTTCCTATCAAGTCTCGTGATTACCCATACAAAATAGAAAAACATGTTTCATTGTACCTAAACTTTCCCAAATGTAGGATGCCTTTTAGTGAATTCCTTTCCAGAATCAACGTACTGAAATTCGAGCCATTTAAGAGAGGGAGAGAGCCACTTAGTACTACGGTTTAGTTGTATTATTCTTCACTTGTAAATGAGATGTTTTAGGTTCGATTCTCGTTGAAGACGAATTTGAATCATATTATTGCTAGCCCATTGTGAGGTGAAGCCTACCTCTCATCTTTATATGGATAATATCATTTGGTTAAAAAAAAAAAAGGAGAAAGAGTCTGGTTCGATTATATGAAGAATGCCAGTGTGATAAACTAACCGGAACCATAAGATTTAAAATGAACGATCCGAATTTCTCAATCTGTAAACTCTGGAATGCAAGATCCGGAAAGGATCTCAATTCCAAATCGGTAAGGATTATTTTTTCCAGTTTTTAAAAAATATGAATCAAATTATTATTCATCTAAGTTGAATTTGGGTCATCTTACTTACAAATAAAATTATAAACCGGTTCATTTAGCAAAGGCGGGTACGAGCAAACCCCGCGTCTGGCTGCCACAAAACCAAACGCCAAACAACCGAAATCAACACGCTATTTCAATCACGACCGTCCATTCCTTAATTTTTCAAGAGATTTGTTCTCTTTTTTCCGGCGAATAATCTCACGTGGGCTCCATTTCCATCCACCAATTTTGAAATCACAAAATTAAAATTCAACGAGAAACATCGAAAAATTCGAACCAGATCGGTTACTTAAAACTGAAATCGCCCACCAAACTCTACTCTGGCTCTCTCTCTATCCGATTCGAACATTTGAACCTCACTGTGACCCAATCCACACCAACCCCCAAAAGGTACTCTCTCACCAATTTCAAATTCCACTTCATTTCTACGTTTCGATTCCAATCGATTTGGGGATCAAGATTCATCAACCAATTTTTTAGTTTTAATTAATTTTTTTTGCTTCAGATTTCGTGATTAGAGTTAAAGTTCGAACCTCATGGCGCGGATAAAGCCGCAGGCGCTGTTACTTCAGAGCAAGAAGAAGAAGGGGCCGACTCGAATCAGTATCGCCACCATAGTTATGTGCAATTTAATCATCGCCTTGGTCGCCTTGTCGTTAGTCGCCACTTATCGCTACTGGCTCCGAAGGTACCATTTCAACTGATGTTTTCAAAATTTTGATGATTTTATTTGTTTGGAAAGTTGGATTATTATGGATATTTTCAGCTACTTATTTTGTTGTGCGCGCTAATTTGCCCTCGTAGGTCGCTGGACCAATCTGGGTCGGAGTTATCTAATCGAGAGGTATTAATTTGGAATGGGTATTTTCCATTTGTGTAATTAATTAAGAATTAGTTAATCTTCTTGTTTGGATAATAATTATGCGTAAATGCGTAGTTGGTTAAATTAGATGGGTTTTTGTTTGTTTGTTTGTTTAGGATTTTGATGGGTTTGGCAAGAAGGGTGATCTTCCCGGTTATGCTGTAAGTCTCTTAATACTGCCATCTTTCTATTTGGTGTCACATTGCATAAACCTGCAATTTTCGACCTCTAGAATTAACGTAGCGGGGTGGTTGTGGACCTTGTGGTGTTGGTGCGGCCATTAAATTTGTTATGCAGCAAAGTTTATCAATAAACTTCTTTTCTCGGAAGGTATCTGGGTTGGGAAAATTTAACAATTAGGATTGCTGCACCGGTTTCCTTCGGTGTTATTTCATTCCTGGTCTCTCTGCTGATGTTTTATTTTTAGAGTGTAAGTCACCTATCTGCTTTTCCACAATTGTAGTTTCACTTTCTTTCTTCTCCCCCTTCCCTGTGTATTTTGTAGATTCTAAATACACCAAAAGGTCCTATCACAGTGGAACTTTTCAAGGATGGTTCTCCAGAGGTTGTGGATAGATTTATTGACTTATGGTGAGTATTCGACATCACATGTATCTTGCATATATACTTGCTGTAGTAATATTAAATCATGTCTATTTGAAGCTATTTCTCTACAGGGTAAGAGAATAAAGTTAAAATTATGGGACGGGGTGACTTTGTACATAGCTGTTAGTAAAATTGCTCGCATCCAAGGGGTGTATTATTTAATATTTTTATCATCTTATAAGCCAAGGGGTATATTTTGTTGTAACTCCTTTGTAAATTATCAAATACACAACAACAGGTTAAAGGTTCATATAGCCTTGGTGATATGGATGCCTAGTTGACTTATATCGAGGCTAGATGTAAATAAAATTAGAACTTCGATGATTAGAAATCATTTCAATATTCTGAGTAGCAGTAGCATCCAGAAGTAGACTTGCTTGGTTTTGGTTGGTTGTAAGGGGAATAGTGTGTTATGCCCTCATGGCACTTCTAAGGCATTAGTTTTGCAGTCAAAAGGGACACTTCAAGGGGATGTCGTTCAGTCACGTGATCAAGCACTATATAATCAAAGGGGGTGGTTCCCAAGGACTTGGAGCAGCTGAAGATTGGATATCAAAAGGGAAGCTTCGTAGTCAACTTGTTACGAGGTTTGTTTCATAGATAAAACTTTTATATTGGTTGTGTGGCCTGTTGGTCCTGTGTTGCAAAGCTGATAGCTTATTCTTGCCTGTGTGAACCTGTAGTCCGAAGCATGAAGCTTTTATGCTTGGAACTACGAAGGCTAGACCAGACAACAAAGAATTTGAGCTTGTTATCACAACTGCACCAATACCAGATTTAAATGATAAGCTAACTGTATTCGGACGGGTCATCAAAGGAGAGGAAGTGGTACAGGTATAAAATTCTGTGCAGTTTGGGTAACTTATTATCATGCCTAGACTTGGATAATACCTGATGTATAATGCTTTGCATACGTTCTTCCATTCAGGAAATTGAAGAGGTCGATACAGATGAACATTATCGGCCTAAATCATCTGTAGGGATCACCGGCGTGATTCTGAAACATGAGATCTAAGGGCGACTCAATTCTAATGTGAAGTATACCTGTACAGCATCGTTGCTGGTTTGAGCTTCGTCTTGCTGGACTGCTCCTGCATTGTTTGTGACAGTACATCATTTAGGTTTCTGATGATCCCATCCAATTTTTCCTCCTTTCTCGATTTGGGTTGTAATTTGCAGTGGGGAGGAGGGGAGTTTTGATACTTTTTTCTAGGTACAGATTCCATATGTGGGGTGGACAAAATACGACAATGCAGCTAATCTGATATGCGAGTTTGTTGTGGTAATCATTGTGTTATCATTATTTGATATTTCAAATTACGCTTAATTATTGTTAATTTGTTATGCCCTCTAAATTGTGACTCATATGTCACTTTGCCCGCTGAACCTCATTTTGTCCGACTTCACCCGCTGAACATTCTCTGTATCACTCTTTCAAAGGTTCATGGGTCAAGTAAGACAAAATTGTTTTGAGGGGCAAAGTGAAAGTTGAGACACTTTCTGTTTTTTTATTTTATTTTTATTTTTAAGAAACCTTGGCGTAACAAGGGACATTTTATTGATTGACAAAGAAAGAAGTTACACTTAGTTAGGAAATATGAATTTTACCTTTTGCAATACCAAAAAAAAAAAGGAAAAAAGGAAAACAAATACATGAAAAAGAATGGACATAAACTTTACCCCTTTAGAAATGAAAATAAGAAAGATATAAGGAAAGGGGGGACATGAAATTTAACTCATTTAAAACAAAACCTAAAGTAATAATCTGCAAAACAAGTTGCAAAACCAAAAGAAAAGACGATCAGGCAAAAAACAAAAATCATCAAAAAGAGGAGACAAACTTGTAGGTTGGTTGGGATGTCTAAAAATTGTGTCCAGAAAAGGAATACCAAACAAGGGAAGATGAAAGCAACCCTAAATTTGCCAATTTATCAACGATGGCATTCCCTTCTCAAAAATATGAGAACAACGGTAAACCACGATCTGCAAAAGGGAAAGGCAATATTTCCAATGAATTTGAAGCTGCCAAGGAGGATAAAAAGAGGCAGAAGCAAAGCAGCAGATCACATTGAAAAAGTCACTTTTGAGCCACAGATTTTGTCAACCCCGTGAATACCATTATATCACAATTTTGAGGGCATAACAATAATTAAGCTTTTAATTTTAAGGAAAACTAACGAAAAATCCTTAAAAAAAACCTTTAATTTTAATCAAAATGACAAAATAAAAGTGTAAGTGCATAATATCAGGAGTGACTTTTTAAGGTAAAAATATTTTTTTTGTTAAAAGTGAACAGCATAAGAAGTGTTTCGTTAAAATACCTTTTATTTTATGCCTAAGAGAACAGGATAGAGTTGTCAAGCTACCAGGACAGGGCTTCAACAGGAGCTATGAACTTTTCTATCGGAATTTCTTGGCGGCCTCCAATGATGAAAAGGGGTGGGGAGTGACTAATCCTGATGGAATTAGTGCGTGCGAGGCCCATACTAATCCTATGGACTGCGGCCCAGTCCACTACCGATCCCATAATTTTCAAAACCCGCGCCAAAAACCGGTACGATTTCTCTTCCCTCCCATTTAAAACCAAAAAAAAGTGTATTACTATTTAATACAATATTTACTCAGAGCAGATTAGCAGGGCGAGTTGTAAACTCAGCCAAAATGAACTCAATCAACTCGGCCATGGACATCGATGAGCAGAAAGACCACGAAGATCCGCTTCTCAAATTCATCGATTACGCCAGGTCCGTCCTCTCGCCCGAAACGGACGAAAATCTGGATCCGAATCAAAACGGAGCGGAGACCAGTACTCGACCCAGCTGGAACTGGACCGCCTCTCGGATCCTCAAGACTTGCAGCGCCTACTCCAGCGGCGTCACCACCGCGATTCTGCTCTCAGACCTCGCCCAGGTACTGCCCTTAATCGAATTCCTCTCTCTCTTTCTGTCTGTTTGGTTGCCGAGAAATGTGGGGAAATGAAAGAAAGGAATAATATGAGAGTTTGTGTTTGGTTTTTGATAGGCGTGGAGCGAGCAGCGTAGGGACAGGCCTCCGAAGAAGATGCCAGAATGCGTGAAGCAGTTGAGGAAGAAGCATAAGAGGAGGAAGCTTCCGAACACCGTGACGATTGACTCCATTTATGAGAAGAATTTCTTGTCATTGAGTAGTGTTTTGGAGGCCGTTGTTGTGGAGGCTTTTGTTCTTCCGGGTAGTCTCTCGTGTCGAAAATTTCAGTGTGCAACGTGATTTTTGTTTGCATTTGTTGTTGAAATTAGTATTTTTTTATTTTCTCAGGTACCAACATCCATATGCTTTCCTTGGGGGATTACTGGAGCTCCAATACCATTGACATTTATCTCCACCGCCGGTAATTACCCGAAATCTTGGAGTCTACTGCTTTTATATGTGTATTTGCAAATTACAATTACATTGGAAGTTTAATCCGAAACCAAAATCTTGAATTTTTGTGCCTGCAGGTACTGTGACTTAGTAGATCCCCGTAATGGGATTCTGAAGAAGGGGAGGGAGATCTTCCTCACTGGGTGCTATCTTCGTCCTGCCACCGGAGGAGGATCTAGCTATCCACGGTTGTTGCCAACGGAATATCTAGTGATATTGCTAGATGAGGTAACTTTTACTGCTGGACTTCTTCAGTGCCTTGCGGTTGGGAAAAGGTTTGGGGATGATTTTATAAATTTTTTTCTCTTACATTTCCTTTTTGTCTTCACTAATGTAGGATGACGATGGTGATTCATTGTTCATAGGAGCTAAGTTTTATTCGGATTCATTCTCTTCAATTTCTGCAGCTAATAAAGATGTCCCTTATTCATTGTATGCAAGGTTAGATAAATTTTCTTTATATTTTAATAAATCGAGATGTTCTATGAGGTATAGAGGTGTTTCGTGGTGTTAAATTGTGCGTGGTGGTGAACCACTTACCTTGCTTTTCCTATTTATGCGTAGAATTGAATCTATTGGGCCACTGGAAGTTCATGGGAAGTTTGGAACTTTACAGAGAAAACAAATTACTCTTGTTAACGATGATGACGTCAAGCTACAATTTCTGCTGTGGGGTGATCAGGTTGTCCTGGCCAATCTTTTGAGGTAAACTCTTGCACTAGAATTCATATTTTTTTTAATACTTGTTCCTTATTATGTCCATAATTCAATTTCTTCAGTGTGGGAAGTATGCTTGCACTGGATAAACCATATGTCTCTAAAGCTATAGATAGTGGTATCGAAACAAGTGGTGAAGTTTGCCTTGAATTTGGTAGTGCAACACAATTGTTTTTGGTGCCTTTCATTCAACATGAGGAGCAAGTAAGTCATTTATCTTCGTTTTAGTAATTGGGTTATCACTTGAAGTGCTGCAGACTAATTTCTGTATTAATCAGGTATGTGTGGCACTGACACCAAATCGGTATCAAGGGTCAAGACTTCTGAGCACAATAGATCCCAGTCAGGGTCCACAAGTTTCTCAAGTTTCTCAAGTTTCCTTGCCCTGTGATTCACATGGGTCTATTGACTTCAGTAGCTATCCTTTCCGAGTGAGTTTACTTCTATTATACTTCCTCATTTTATTGACTGCTATTTAGCTGTGCCTCTAATTTAATTTCTGTTAGAAGCTACGAGTACTGTGCTTCTAAAGGAGTGCATTAGATATAACTTTTGCACTGGTCCCTAGTGTATCTAAGCCATACTATGATTCTTCAGGAATTATCTTTAATGTCCTGATCCATTCATGTAAACCTATCATGCTCTTATCTACTAGCTAATGGATCACCCAAGTTCATGTGAAATCAACTGCCTGTCCTGACGCTCTTGTTACCATTTGTTTTTAATTTTTATTAACATCTCTTGCTTGTGAAGTTTTGCAGTCATTTGTTTCTGGCCTTCGTGACAAGATGACTGGTGTCAGTCTTTATGGTGTTGTTACCAATATTGTCAAAGAAAAACATACGACAGAAGCAGTCTTCTCCTTGAGAATTGAAGATACCACCGGACCAATTTGGGCAAAGTTGCATTTTGTGAAGAATTGGTATGGAGAATTAGTTAATTGAATACAGATGGTTTTACTGTCCCTTCCCTGATTATAATGTTTACATATATAATGCTGATTTTGCTTCTATGTATTTATTTCCTAGGTCGCTTGGAAGGTTAAGCCTTGGTCACACAGTGTACATATCAGGCCTGACATGCTCTATGACAAAGCGGAAGTGGTGAGCTTATTCAAGAATTACAACTAGTCACCTCTGATGTCAGTATGTAGGCTGGTTAACGTTTTTTCTAATGTTGGCAATAAGTCAGCTTGTATTTTTTGTTTAGACACTTTCTGATTTGTTTCTAGATATGTGGTTTAGTTTGGTTTCCATTTAAACATATTTGCTTGTCAGCTTGGAAGCATCATGGTTCGAGAACAGTGCTGGAGCTTCTTTCTTCAACCTCAGTTGCTTGCCAGCATTACTAAATTCATCTTGTCTTTGTAAGTTGTCAAGGCTCGCTGATCTATCCAGCCAGGGTAGCTGCACGCAGGTACGGGATTTGCATGAACTTAATGTTTGGTTAGTAGCCATGGTAGAACATTTGACTTAAGTTTCTGTATGTATTCGCTTGTCTATACTCCTGAATTTTCTGCTGTTAATCTACTATGTTCACTGGCCTTTATATTCAGCTTCTCTTTGTGTTTGGGCCTATCAATAGCAAACGTTGGCCAGTTTATCACAACTTTGTTTCCAAAATATAGTTTGGAATCGAGGAACGATGGTAGATTGGTAGGCCTGACTCCTGAGTGTGCTCCTGCATTGGTTTTGTAATTATTATCAGTACACCAACACCCAACCGCTCATACAAAACTAGTAGAAAAACTACACCTAAAATATAAAGGATTAATAGTTCTGTAACTTTAAGACAAAATTACCTTGCATCCCTTCTTTGAATCAGTTCTCTTGGTACATTGGATGTTTAGTTATCGGTTATCATGTGGACAGATAGTTCAGGTTTGGGCAGTTTGGCTGGGGGCTCAGTCCAATGTCAGTACAAGATTTTCACATACCACATGTGGCCATTTCGTTATTGAGCACCCCAATGGGGTTATGGAGTGTAGCTTCTGTAATGACAACAACTGTGGCGCTGAAGTTATCCGCACTTTCCACCTGAAAGTCACTCTTGCAGACGAGAGTGGGAAGGTTTTTGCGTGGTGTACTGGTCATGCTGCTGCAGAGTTGCTGCAAATATCTCCTGACGAATTCCATGAACTGCCTGAGGTAATCCTATGTCGCTTTTACAATCTGAGTCACAAGGATCTCCTCTTGGGTCCTTAATTTTTTGATCTGTATTGATGTTTCGTCGAGAAAACGCTTCTAGTTTTTGGTGTATGCGAAGTTCTTATTGATCTAAAATTTTGCTCTGTATCCCAGGATGAACAAGATATGTATCTGGCTTCCTTAGCGAAAGAGCGATTCACGGTCGCGATTGTTAACTGCAAGCGGGGGGGTTGTGAAGGCAGTGATGCTCTTATGCAAGAAATTGAAGGCGTCTCATGGGAGATCACTCGGGCATTGAACAATGAATAATTCGTTGGCTTGAAGATGTAATATTTTTAATCGTCGAGTAGGTAGTTCAATTTTGTATGAGCAAAATATAATAAGAAATTGATATATTTTTGGTGCAAATGAAGTGGAAAAGATTTCAGAAAAACGGACCAACGGTTCAGAAACTATCCTTAACTTGCACAAATAGTGGAAAATGAACCATTGAGATTTTTTAGGTTTGAAGTTTGTGGATGATGAGTTTCTATTAAACATTATTATGATGGCTCTGTTTTGTGACTTAATCGAAAACTTTCATCTATTAGCGTAAATTATCGTTGTATATAAAAATGAAAAATTAGAGTTAAAATTTGGTTAGTTACTCTTGTGTGAGAACATAATGAAAATCAAATCCATCATAAAATTCAAGATATATTTAGTGATATATTTGACCATGTTATAATGGAAACAAAAGGCGTAATGGGCACTTTTGTAATGGTATATTTGACCGTGTTATAATGAAAGCAGAAGACATGATAGTTACCTTTATAATTTCTAAAAGAGTCGTACACGACACGTTACTGTACGAAAACAGCGTGTTCAGATTAAAGTTTATAGAGTCGTATTGAAAATGAATAAATCCATTCCTTTTACAAGAGCGAATAGATCTTTACATATATTGTCGTGTCAACATTAGACTTTGTTTGCATCTTCCTTGCCATCTTGATTGTGAGTAGTATTGTTGACTTGAGCACCATACAAACATGTATTAGCAATTTGCTTAGGTGATGAGGCTTGTTATTTTAGGCGGGCCAAAATTTGTAAAAGCCCGTTAAAGGAAAATAACTATAAATAATAATTGGCCGTACTAGGGTTTTAGGGATTCAGGGTTTAAGGGGGTTTTAGTCACAGCAAGCACTTCAAGCTCCAGTCTTTTGTTCATCAAAGCATCCAAGCTAATCATTTCGTCCCCAACGGCGGTTTTCCATCACCGTCAGGCAAAACCCTAGCACAGTTTTCCCTCTTCAATTCCGGGGTTTGTAAATTATGGAGGATTTCGACGATGATTTCGGGGATTTGTATGCAGGCGTTGAAGCGCAGGCCAATTTGGCCATCAATGGCGTAGCAGACTTCGCTCTCTTTTACACAGAAGATGTAAGTGATGATAATGGAAAGGCGAAAAACGCTAGTCCTGGCTCCGATTCGAAGAAACCCGATTCTGTCTGCGAGGAGTTGGGTGAGAAAGTTTCGGCTTTGGAGGAGGATGAGGACTTCAATGAAAGTGATAGCGAGGATGACCTGAAAATAGTGCTGAATGATGAGGACTGTGAGGGCAAAGTGTTTCCAAATGGCGGCCGAGGGCGAGTGAAGAATGATGAGCATGAGGATGAGGGTGATGATGGTTTTCCGCCTACGAAAGAGTATAAGGTAGTATCTTATTTTTGTCTAAATTAACTTGAAACGAGTAATTTTCAATCTTTGGTTACAGAGAGTTCAAGTATTCGGAATCTTTATGTATAATCGATATCTTTCTGCTTACAGAACTAGATGTTCATAGATGATGATTACTATTTTTCATATTCATAGATGCTTGGTGCTTTGTGCTTTCTGCTTTGTGCAGTACCATGATAATAGTATGTGCTATCAACACAAGGGGTCGAGCTCTCAGATTAGTTGTATTCGTGATCCCCCTAATCAAATGGTGGCTCAAAATAGATATGGTTTCAGACTTCCTTGGTATAGGTTAGTAAGTCACAAACAAAATTTTAAATATTGCACAAACCCAATTTTGTATAATCGGGAATTTTGGCTACAGTTTGAACCTTCTTAAAAATGACGGTTTTAGAGTAATACTGAACTCGACTATGACACATTAGCGTCCTTGTTTTCTTTTTTCCAGGACAATACTTGATGTAAACATTGAATCATTTGAGGAGAAGCCATGGAAGTATCCTGGAGTTGATGTAACAGATTATTTCAATTTTGGTTTGAACGAGGACTGTTGGAAACAGTACTGCATCTCCCTGGTAACTGAAATAATGCCATGCTTATCGTCCCAAAGAAATTTATGGTGTAAAAATAATGTCCGTTCTAGTCTTCTAGATCCCATTTAGATGTTCTGGCAAGTTGAAAAAGTTTTTTCCCAAAACTTTCTATGCTGTGTAACTTGTGGCTGTGTTGTTAATGGTCTTGTGATATGGCCAACCGGTTCTCAATTGTTTTCTTTTAACACAGGTCTGAGTAAATAAAATCCTAATACTTAAAATGCATTGCAGGAACAACTATGGTTAACATCTATGCAGTTTGGGATCCCTGTCTCAAAAGCGTCAAAATTTTATCAGGTTATTTGTTCGAATTTTTTGAGGATCTTATTATATCACCATAACACTTGTTCAAATTTTACGTGTTGACATGTCCACTAATATCTTCCTTACATAAAATAGGCAAAAGAAGCTGGATCTGCGTATGAGAAATTCTCCCAGGAAACTATTTATAAAGAAACGAACAATGCTGGACCAACGAAGTTTGCTCCGCCTCTATCTAGAGATTCTGATTCCAGTTTCAGAGAGTTGGAACTAGTATGTCACAGTTTATTACTATTCTCTGATTCTTGTATTCAGAAACTTGGTTGAGATGGTTATGACTTGGCTTTTGATTTCTTCAGCCAAAAGGAAGAGCAATTCAGGTTGAAGATAGTATGGTTGAACGCCAACCATCTTTTCATAGTAGGCATCCACGTAGTTTGGATTCTGATGTTGTGATACAGGTTGGCTGTCACTTTGAATTGTCAGATGGATTTGTTGCATCTACCTTACATTAAGTTATCCCTAATTGATTGATTGGGCAGATTGCGGTGCAGGATGGCACTGAGGAAACCTCAAACTCTGGTGAGGAACAGGGCCATACAAATCTTACTGCACATGAGGCATCTGATAATGGAGAATTAAATGCAAATGGCAACCGAATTATTCCTGCCGAAGAAGATGATTTATTGGTAGGAACTCCAGAAGGGAACACAAGAAGATCAGACAGGTTTGTATTCTGTTATATGTGGAGCCCTAAATAATTCAATTATTAGGTTCCATATATAAATTTAATTACAATTTCTGAAGGCATAATTCATATAGTTTTCCCTGATATCGTCAGGTGTTCCCCGAGGATCAGTGCCACTTGTCCAATGACAATAGATTCTGATCAAAGAAATAACCAGGTCGTTGATCTGGATGGGTATGACCAAATTCAGGGGAATGCTGTCTCATTGGAGACTACTGAAATTGCAAATAAAACAAAGGACAGTGTTGGCAAGGATTCTTTGTATGCCGATCAATACCTGATGGAAGCACAATTATCATTTGGTGATGACGATCAACTTAGCCCCACTTCATCCTGTTTTGGAAGTGATTCTGAAGCATCAAAGAATGGTGTTCGTTTTGATCCAGAAGATATTCATACTCCTGTCACATCATCTTTTGGGAACTCGAAAAGCAATGGCATCAAGAGAACAATAGTTGATATAAAAAAATATTCCATACGTAAAAGTCATGCTCGAAAGGAGAATAAGCATCAGAAAAGGAGGCTTCACAGTGTTGTTGAACCAAAGATTCACATTAAAGATGATGATGATGATGCGTCCCTCACCTCGGAAATGGAGGATCTTTATGACAGGGATAGCTCATTGAATTATAGCAGACAGAAGAAAATTCTGCGAGATTTTGGCTATAGTGATAGAGAAGATATTTCAGATTATAAAGAATCTAGGAGATATGCCGACAACCATGTTCATACCGCTAAAACAAATTATGTGGGTAGAAAAGGTAATCACAAGATCCAAGACAAGCTAGATCCATATTTCAGAAAAAACTGGAATGAAACAGAGTATTTTTGTGAAGATAGGGATAGAGATTGGCATCGTTTTGGAAGAACACGATTCACTAAGGAGAGGAGTCCTCTCTCTAGCAGGGAGTCCAGGGGGTGGCATTCCAGTTATTCCCCACACACTGTTGAAGAAAGGGATGCTCAATTTAGAAGGAATGCCAAGAAACTGCAGTTTCAGAAAATACCCATCCATGGTGGTGGCTGTTTCGGTTATAAACGTGAAGATGACTTTGTGGGAGAAAAATTTAGGAAATGTGCTTCATTCACTGATCGAAGAATGAATAATTTGGATGAATTTGATGAAGGGCAGTTTCCTCGGCTCAGGAGAGAATTACAACACTCCGGGGGAAGGGGTGGATATGTTGACAGTCCCAAATGTAATTGGGATGATTCATGTTCTGAGAAAATTGAAGATGAATATTGCAGACATGGAGAGAATCAGTATTTGTTCGATCAGTCTTACAAAGAATCATACGCAGGTGATGAAGGAAGGTGGATTGATTCCCTATCACCAAGAATTGATGTTTCTCGCACAAAAGCAACTGATGAAAGATATTGGAGAAATGCTAGAGAAACATACTCTGCTGAATTCAAAGAGAGTAATTGGTTTGATAATCGTTATAATGCTGATGAAATTGATGACATCATTTATCCGAGTGATCAATTTAAGTGGAGAAGATCTAACTGGCGATCTGAAGTCCTACACTGGACTGAGGATCAGTTAACTGTCAGGTGCCGTGGTGATAAATTGTATTCTGAGAAGTCATCCCTTTCATATCAGAAATATGTAAGACATGACAAATTTCATGCTAAATATGGTTCCTACAATGATGCAATGCATGTTATGCTACCAGAGCAGGATAGATTAGAATTGAGGAGAAAAGGAAGTAGTGCTAACTGTATTAATAGTAGTTCTAAGATGTATATCGGTAAGCATGAGCGGACGGCCCTGAGGTGCAGAGGTTCAATTGACTTGGTTGTTGGGGAAGGAAAGGTACGGTTGGGGGAACCCAAGGTGAAACCTTGTATCATTGAACTTGTATATATGAGTGCTCGACAAGAGTTGAGCAATCCTTTCTTATTCTTTTTAATGCTATCTCATTGCATTTTTGCTCTTTTCTTTTCTCTATTTTTTTGTTTCCTTTCCTCTTATATCGTATTTTTACTTTCCTCTCTGTTAAGTAATGTGTTGCCTATATGTTCTTAAGTGTTGGTTCCCATTAGGAAGGCCTTCTAGGTCCAGTGTCTCAAGCATGTAAGTTGGGGGAATAAGGTTCCCAGTCCATCATCAAGGCATTATTGTAGAATCTTCTATACTTTCCAATTCCTCGTTATCTGTCACGAATTTCAGGGTAAAGTAGCCTTGTCATGCTTGTTGATTTCATGGAGGTTGACAAGTAAAAGAGACTGCTTTACACCTTGCAAATCAAAACATGGTGGTAAAATATTTGAATAAAATAGGTGTTTTATATTGGATGATATATGATAACAATGGGTGTTACTTGAGATATTGTTCAAGTCAGCAGAATCTTTAGTATTTAAGGTTGCAAATTTGCATGAATCCAACATGCATTTTTATTTTATTCTTTTGTTTCTTTTCAAATTTGGTTGTTTTTCCACACTACCTATCATCACATGCTACTGTTATAGTTGTGGGTGGTTTTCATATATATCTCACATTTATAGAATGTATTTTGTACAAATTCATGTTCTTATTTCCATGTTTGTTTGTGTTTTGATTTTTAGGGTTCAATTGATCTGAAAACTTTGGTCTTCTTTGTAACACCATTGGGTTAATGTGATTTCAATATTAGTCTGCAATTATTTTAATTCTTCTCATCAGTAGTTGTGGGACTCCTTTTGGGCACATACCCAGTTGAAGAAGAAAACGGGAGGGATTCTCCCTTATTTAGCTTTTGTCTTTCATTCTTTATTTATTGAGATTCTTTCTTTCTTGCTGTCAAAAAGTTGCAACCTTTGTCTCTTTGCTATTTCCATGCTCTGTTAATTTGTACTTCAAACTATGGCTAATGTCCTATTGGCAGTCATGCTCTTTACTTTTTCTATTATCCGAGTATTCCTGCAATGCACCGACAATTTAGAGCTCTTAATCCTTGTTGGGCAGTTTCCTACCAAGTAGCAACTGAATATTCAATGTGAAAATCAAATATTCGTGTTTCTTACATCAAATCTCAGTATCAAAAGGAAAAACGAAAGTTCCCGTCTCCTGGATTTGATTCATTAGATGTCCTTTGAACACATGTGATACTTATTGAATAGTCCTCTCATTTTATTTACCTTAGTTTGAAGTCTTTTACATCTGCCACCTATTTGAAGACATTTTAACGGATGTTGCAGGGCCTGTGTGATATTTCCTTAGTTTGAAGTCTTTTACATCATACTTGGAACTAGCTGGAATTTTGTTGATGGTTCATTCTGCTGCATGTTTCCAATCGTCTGTTTTACTGTTTAGTTGACTAATATTTTACATAAGTGTAACATTTCCTTGCTTTACGCTGCAGTCCTCTGTAAGAAGCCACAAACGTGGAACTTTGATTCGCAATGGTATGCTGGAAAATATGGATGGTGGTGAGCAGACAACCTTAGCGGATTGTAGTCAATATGAGAAGGTAAGGGCAGTCCAATTTAACACCCGAAAAGTTGGACGCAACCAAAGAAATACAAAAGGGCTCGATAAGTTTCCAGTTATAGCTGAAAATGGTGAGTTGGATGCTGAAGCGGGCCAGACTCTAACAGAAGACCTCAAGACAGCTCATCCCTTACAGAGAAAACATGCTTCTGAGTATTCATCAGCAGCTCAGAATGTGAATAGGCGAAGAGTCTGTGGAGAAATTGGTTCCAGTGGGGACAAGGTTGCAGAAGGATACGACAACCAAAGGATTCTTGCGACAAAGGAAAAAATGGAGAAACGTGGGGAGCGCTTTAAGGAGCCAATCACCCTGAAAAAAGAGCCAGACAAGTTGTCCAAGCCTGAGATTGATCTTCTAGTTGAAACAGCTGAAGCACGGTTGCATAGGCCAAGCCGAAAGAGGCGGTGGGGCGGTTAGAGGCCGTTTAGGAGACTTGTGGTTGAAGTCTTCGACAGGATGACTTGTGCTATTTGAAGCAGGTCAATAAAATATAAAACACAACTCAGCAATCAAGATGAAGAATCAGGTTAGAAATTTAATTTGCCTTCCTCTTTCATTGAAATTGGAGGAAAGATTTGATATCTAAATGTACTGACATTTTCCCTACCTGTAAAAAGGTTCATTGGTATAATAATAATAATCTCCCATGGTGATTCATTTTTGAGGATTTGTACAATTTCGTAGGGAGTCGCTGCTTTCGGTTACTTAGTTTCTCATACAATCTTATTTCTTTGAAAAAGTGATGGTGATGATCAATTGCAGATGGCCAAACATCATGTTCATGAATTTTTTGCTCGAATTCGTTACGTTGTTTTTTGTTCAGAATGCAGACTGATGCCATTCACTCTAATATCGTTCTTGCCTGTACGCAAGCTTTGTAGCTGATTGTTTATTTTGTTATGGCATACAAGCTCAAGCTAACTTTTATTTCATATTTGACATTTTGTTCTTGCGAAAATCTTCTAAATGGTTGTGTGAGCCACCGTCCCGCTATATACAGGTTACTCCTTACAGTTTGATTTTATGACCGATCTTGCTTTAAATAGAAGAAAATGAGACCTAGAAAAAGCGATCATACATTTTATGTAATGTAAGCGATACTAATATATAATATATGTCTGATTACGTTGAAAAACTTAATCCGACTACATTAAAAAACTTGGGTAAGACACTCTCCCAATGTCATCTTGTAAAACGCCCTTTACAAAAAAACAAGACGAATTATATTTTGATCTCATTGGATTACACTGAGCTTTCCTTATACGTGGCCATGTAGAAAAGGAACCGCAAAGAGTTCTACCTAGTGACCCACGCTCGCATGTTCAGATTTTGGATTGTTTTTGTCGGATGCACAATCTGATCTTTAAAAAACTGACCAATGAGGGGGCTCCACGTAGCATAACAAATCTGTCCTCATCAGAACCACAGGAAAAAGAGTGGAAACGTGGCAAAGTGTAGACCAGTCTACTCAACTCAAGTATATGTAGTCTCACTTGGAGGAAGCTGGTACCCGGTGACCGCTAGTTTTGAGATCGCTCTTCTGGAAATTCCAATTGACTAAAATATCCCTTCGAATATGAAATCTCAAGAAACTATAACAAAATGATATAATCTAGTAACTTCATATAAACTTTACTGAAAATCGCAACACTCATTTGCTAAAAAAACACTAGCTTGTAATGCAAGAATCGTTAATCTCATTCAAATCTCCCCAGCCACAAAAAATGAAAAAAATAAAAATATTATCATTCATATCCCAAGTAAGAAAGGTGCTTAAATTGTCATTGAACTTTTATTCGAAATCCAACTTTTTAAATTAACTAACATTAAATACTGTGCTAGTTGAATTTTATCTAAAACTTCAAAATTTATCTAGCATGAAACAAAGCTTAATATGCACCAAATTTTTCAGTAAATAGATCATTTGTTGTTTGTTCACTTGATTCATGCTATGAGCCGATTTGTCATTCTAAATTTTTTATAACTCCATTCAAAATCTATTAAACTCTCATGTGCTAAGCACAAATAAAATGAGAAGAAATACCTTTTTTAGTTTGGTTTTTGTTATTTTTTTAATACAAGAGAAATTTGTAGGGTCCAAAAGTGCGCACGTCCACGGCTATAAGGATATAATAGTAATTATACAGACAGCATTCTTCCTCTACCCGCCTCACATTCGCGGTTTCAATGTGGATCATACAATACGGTTTAATCCGTTAAAACACACACAGACACACTCACAGAAATGCACCTTCTCTCTTCTCCCTCCTCCTCCAACCCCCCCAACTTCTCTCTCTTCTCCGCCTCCCAAAACCCTAACCCCCTCTCCAAATTCACCCTCCGGATCCCCACTTTGCCCCTCCACTCCTCCCCCTATTCCCTCCCTGCCCCTCCGCCTCCCCGCTGCTCTTCCCGGGACTCCTCCACCCCTGTCCTCGACCCGCTCCCCGCAAACGCCACCGTTTCGACCGAGAGCCAGAGTAATGACGTCCCGCCGGAGACAGAGTCCGCGAAACGTGAGCTCGTGGTTCGCCGGCCGGCGATGGACGTCTCCGGCGAGGGAGATGGTGGCGGTGCGGCAACTACTGTCCTCGACGCAGGGCTTGCCGAGCTGGCGAAGAAGATGCCGATATTCGAGCCGGAGACTGCGGAGTCGGGCGTGAAGGAGAAGCCGTTGGCGGTGAACTTGGACTTGGCGTTGTACAGAGCTAAGATCTTGACCAGGAACTTCCGGTACGCGGAAGCGGAGCAGATACTTGAGAAGGTATGTATGGATATGGAGTTTGGGAAAGTGTTTTTGAAAATGCAAGTTTGAATATTTTTGGAGTGCTTGATTGGTAATGCTCTGTTTGATTTGTTTTTTGGTTTGCGAAAGTGTATATATTATTGGCCGGAAGATGGGAGAGCTTATGTGGCATTGGGGAAGGCGTTGAGCAAACAATCGAAGACTGCGGAAGCTCGAGCTGTGTATGAGAAAGGGTGCCAAGCCACTCAAGGAGAAAATCCATACATCTGGCAGGTGGGTTTTCTTTGTTTTTCCGGAGTGAACTCTCTGCAATTTGTTATTCATCTCGGAAAAATGGAAACATACAAGTCTGGAACTTCATTGATTATGACCAATGGCTATTGATGCATGTTAGTTTTTGGGTTTTGTTAAGATGAGCCGCTTACATTCACTAAGAAAGATGGAGTTACTGCCTTAATTAGTGAATGATTTAGTTGTTGATTCTTTATGGATATGAACAAATCAGGCACTCCGTTGTTTCTTGTAAGCGTCCGAAAGAATCTTCTTGGGAACTAGTTGTGGGAATAGATCTTGCTAGGATTGATTGATTGATCTCATTAATTGAGGTTGTTTTTTACAGTGCTGGGCTGTTTTGGAAACTAAGATGGGAAACGTAAGAAGGGCTAGAGAATTATTTGATGCAGCCACGGTTGCTGATAAGAAACACATTGCTGCCTGGCATGGGTGGGGAGTTCTAGAGCTAAAGCAGGGAAATATCAAAAAGGCAAGACATCTGCTTGCTAAAGGTCTAAAATTTTGTGGTGGGAATGAGTACGTATATCAGACACTTGCATTGCTGGAAGCTAAAGCAAATCGCTATGAGCAGGCTCGGTATTTGTTCAGCCAGGCTACTAGGTGCAATCCCAAAAGCTGTGCCAGTTGGCTTGTAAGTCAGCATTTTCTTGCACACAGGCTTCTCGGTTACAAAGTAAAACTTTTCATTTCTATTCTGGTCTGTTGAAATGTTTTCTTGTAGTAATTTGTCCAATTCTTACGATACAGGCATGGGCTCAGTTGGAAATGCAACAAGAAAACAATCGTGCTGCCAGGCAACTCTTCGAGGTGATTTTTTATTAGTAAATTGTCAAAAAGGTCATGCATGTCGATCAGGTCCTTTTCATCGTGGATTAGGACTTTGCAGCAGTATTTTTTTTCTCAGAAATTTAGAATGATTTAGTTACTAAATTGGCTGTGTTAGTTTTTTCGTTTTATGTTCTGTGTTTCCAGTGTTGATTTTAATGTTTTCCACCTCTATCTGTAGAAATCGATACAGTCAAGCCCCAAGAATAGGTTTGCATGGCACGTTTGGGGAATGTTTGAAATTAATATAGGTAATGTTGACAAGGCAAGAAAGCTTTTAAAGATTGGTCATGCACTCAATCCAAGGGATCCAGTTCTCCTTCAGTCCCTTGCTTTATTGGAATATAAAAACTCAACCGCGAATCTTGCTCGGCAGTTGTTCAGGAGAGCATCTGAGTTGGATCCAAGGCATCAACCAGTGTGGACGGTATGACTCTCTTATCAGTACAGAGATCTGAGTTTGATCGTAAATCATAAACCTGATGCAATTTTATTTGTTTGATATGACCGGCCTGATAAATTATGTCTGTGAATGATACAATTGGAATCTGTGACTTGTATACCGCTAATTTATTGGGCGTTTTGTTGCCTGCATAAAGTGACTTACATCTTCTTGTTGCTTACCATGACATTCCTTTTTATCTTTCTTTCATACAACATCATAATTTCTTTGTACAAAAGAAAAGTGATTTCCCTCTCTTATGCATTGACTACTTGCTGATAAAACCTGATAGAAGTATCTTTAGGATTACAGGGCTTGTTTGTGCATACATGCATCATTGAATTTAGCACAAAACTAATTCATTGATTGCAAAATCTTCGGATGTTTAGGCTTGGGGGTGGATGGAATGGAAAGAAGGAAACATAGAGACAGCAAGGAAATTGTATCAAAAGGCATTGTCTATTAACTCAACTAGTGAAACTGCTGCTCGTTGCCTACAGGTAATGACCGTAATTAGGTTTCTGGTATCTTATATATACTATATAGAATGTTCAGCTAAGTTTTTAATGAAACTTCCTTTGCGTCCTTTCTATCATGATTGTTAGCAAAAGGATTAGCAACGACACATAAGAAGCAATATTCTTAAAGATGAAACATAGATCAATGTCATTGCAACGTTATCCACATGTATGATTATGAAGGCTTTAGGCAATGACCATCTGTTTGTGTGGCAGGCTTGGGGAGTTCTAGAACAGAGAGTTGGTAACCTATCAGCCGCTAGGAGATTATTTAGGTCCTCCCTTAATATAAATTCTCAGAGTTATGTCACATGGATGACATGGGCATCATTAGAGGAAAATCAAGGAAATGCTGTACGGGCAGAGGAAATTCGCGACCTCTATTTCCAACAGGTTAGTGCTCACTAATTAGCTAGGTTACTGCATCTTACACGTGAAAAGGCTATTTGTTTGGGATGCAAGTCTTGGAAGGCTTCAGGCCCTCAACATTGAACACTCTTTTTTGGTTTCTTGCAACAGCGTACTGAAGTTGTAGATGATGCTTCATGGGTTATGGGATTCTTAGACATCATAGATCCGGCCCTTGAACGTATAAAGAATATCTTGAGGTTGGACCAGAGTTCAAAAGAAATGCAACAGGACGCTCTGCGAACAATAGTTGGAGCAAATGAAAGTAACATCGATGAAGAGCCAATCAGCCCTTCCTCTAATAGCAATGACATGGAAAGCGAGAGTGGATTCGATGTGGATGCATTTGTTAAGGAAAAGTTATCTCTAGACCCATCAAAGCTAGAAGTTCAGATGGTGACCTCGCGGCCTTTTCCGGTAAACAGAAGTAGAGTGTGAGCATTGTGGTGAGATTTGCCAATGGGGAACCTGTTACATAAGATGGAGAGGATCTCCAGAGGGATCTTCTAGTACAGAAATGGTAGATCATTTGAATCGTATAAAGGATTCATGTGACCCTGCAATCTCCCACTGAAATCCGGTTGGAGTATATATACTGGGGATAAATTAAGAGGCCTCCTTCCTATGGCCTCTGTGATTAATTTGTAGCATGAAATTTGAGGGTTCGCTTTGTATATTTCATATCTCTCGACTCAAAGCTTGAATTGGGATTTTATTCTGTCGGGGCCCTTGTAATTTACTGGACAACATCAATAGCAATACCATTTTAAATTGGGGTTTACACAAAAAAGTTACGTCGTCACAGTTGGATTGGTCACACCCAGTTATCGAATTATTTATGTATAATATACTGCCCATGCATATACGTGAATCGAATTTATAATCTTCTCCAATCAATTAATAAAAGAGGACTACCATTAGATTATAGCTAATTGATCAATTTCTTTTGGTCATTTTGTTGTCAATGAGCACACATGATTCCAATGAGTGATTCTAATTAGTAAACCATGCATTGTTGGTGGAGTGTACCACACTGATGAGATGATAACAAGTATAACCATGCAAGTAAATCAACACACACACACATATGTATGTGTACATACACACACACACACACACACACACACACACACACATATGTATGTGTACATACACACACACACACACACACACACACACACACGATTAATTAATGATTGAATATTTTGATGGTACCACACACACACACACACACGATTAATTAATGATTGAATCTTTTGATGGTACCACATAAACGGTTAGATGCGTTCTTGTTTCTCATTACGTTTAAACTATGATGAGTGACCCTAATAATTATTTTTCATATTAGGTCTAAATCCACTAAGAAAAATGCTAAGAAAACTCTCTCAACGTGAGACTCTTTATAGACTCTCTACCCACATTAATTCTCGCCCCAGCATTATAAAATATTATATAAAAAATGAAGTGGTAGAGAGTCTTACTTTTAAAAAAATCTTCTTAGCATTTCTCATTTAACAACATTATAAATTGCGAGTTTAAAAATATATTATTGTAGATGACTCAAATTTTACTTATTTCAATTCAACTCACTCATCATTTAAAAAATAATAAAAATTCAAGTTTCCCTTTACAGTAATTTCTACATTTTTTACTCACTATTCAAGTTCGACCCATCTGTCTTAACGAAAAAAAAGAAAACAGTAATGGAAGGAAACCGCTGAAAAATTAAGGAATTTTAACGAAAATCTTCCGGTACTGTTCATTTTAACAAAAAAACACATTTTTACACTAAAAAGTCAATCATGGTACTATTCACTTTACCCTTTATTTTGTCCTTATCGTTAAAACTCAAAATTTTCAAGCCATTTTCATTAGTTTTTCTTAAAAATTACATAGGAAAGTATCCACGTGTCTTGGAGTCCAAGTAAGGAAGAAAATCTCAGAGTTGGAGCAAGAATCACGATTCAGATCAGGAAGATAGCGGACAGCCGGATTCAATCCCAAGAATTAATCACAGAAGACCAAACCAGGAATGTTTTGAAGGCAGTGAATTATGTGCCAAGTAATGTTCCATAATTCCTGGCATATATATAAACCAAGGTTTAACAGAATATGACCCAAATTATTTTGCTATCCTCTCCTACCTATCATTCTCCGGTAAATTTCTTTATGTGGTTTATCTTTTCTACCCATTTTACTTCCAGATTTCTTGTAAGTTTATAATTTTTGAAGTGTTAGCACTTTTGTTAAGTAGCTTTTTTTTTTAAATTAAAGTTTCTCAAACACTAAATATTATTGTTGTTCCTGTAGTTTCTTTCTTTTTGCTACTCTATATTCTTTATTTTGTCGGAACTCTCGATCAATTCGATCCATGTGCTTAGTTTTCATGACCTTTAAATCTTTCTTGCACTAATTAGTCGCTTCTCATGTATGCACTTCGATTTTCTATTGTTTAAAACAGCGGTTATCCTAAAAAAACTAAAACCATATGAAGAAGAAAAAATAAAACCCTAAACCATTATATGCCAAGAAAATTTTCTTTGCTCATGTCTGGAGATTTAGATGAGGGAAATAAACTTGGAATTTAAGTAAAAGTCATAATTTATAAATCGACATGCACCAATTCAGCAATTCCCTTGTTTTAGTACTTCGTTCAATTCTTGTACTGCTTCGTTGGGCATCTGTATATATAAATTTTTTTTTATTGTTGATTGGATTGTATCAAGCACTTTTGAAAAAAGCCACTTCGAACAATTTATCAGCTAGAGGAGGTGACAAATAATATTTGCAACTGTTCCAAGTTTATTACAATTGGGAGTTCGAGACTAGAGTCTAGGACATAATTTGATTTTGAAGATTGGAACAATTTATTTCCCCCATTCTTTTCCTTCAGGTACAGAAACCAAAACAAGATCTAACGGAGGGTTCAACCTAATAAAGTGTGCTGGAATATAATTTACAAGGCATGCATCGTATCCCCCAAAAAACTTCTGTGATAGTTTCAATCCTCTATTCTCATATCTATCACGGTGAAAAACTGAATTGAAGAGGCATAATATATAATATTAGAACACAGCCTACAAAACAAAATTCCTAGACAAAATAAAACATAGAAAAAAAGTGGTGAACTGATATGCATAGTCTGTCTCATCTTCCTCTTGGATTCACTATTTGTGAAAAAACTGCACTTGTGTTTAAGTCATCGACCGTAGCCTCACTTGAAACGGTCTCTTCCTCAATTGTCAGTGTGGCATTGTGCATAGCATAAGCATCATTTGCTTTATCTTGAGCAGCAACTGCTTCTCCATCAGGGTTTTCATGCAGTTGAAGAGCAAACTCAAGGTTCCAAAGCACGTCCCCCATCGAAGGGCGTTCGAGTCCATGATCAGCTAAGCATTTCTCAGCTGTCTCTGCAAACTTTTTCAAGCACTCAGGATTAATAGGTGGCCCTGACTTGAGATGTGGATCAATAATTTCGAAGAGAATTCCCTTTTTTAGACAATGTATTGCCCAATCTGCAAGACTAACTTGCTCCTTAGGCAATGAAGCATTGAGGGCCGGCCTTGCACACAAGACCTCAAACAAGACTACCCCAAATGAGTAAACATCAGATTTTTCCGTCAATTGTTGCCTCCGAAAATATTCGGGGTCCAAGTACCCAAAGCTGCCCTTCACCATTGTACTCACATGGGTTTGGTGAAGATTAGGACCTGTTTTTGATAGCCCAAAGTCAGAGACTTTAGCTACCCAATTCTCATCCAACAATATGTTTGTGGTTTTTACATCTCTGTGGATGATGGTGTATCTTGCACCAGTGTGAAGATAATGCAGTCCCCTAGCAGCTCCTATGCAAATTTCCAACCTTTGCTTCCATGACAAGGAAGGATTTTTGCTCTTGTACAAATGCTCCCTTAGAGTCCCATTAGCCATGTAATCATAAACCAGAATCATCTCGCCGTCCTCTTCGCAAAAACCAATCAAAGAGACTAAATGCCTGTGCCTGAGCTTTGAAAGCATCTCGATTTCTGTTTGGAACTCATGAACACCTTGCTCTGAAGATGGATTTGATCTTTTAATAGCCACTTTGGTGCCTCCATCAATAATGCCTTTGTAAACCTTCCCAAATCCTCCAACCCCAATAACTTGAGATTCGTCAAAATTCTTGGTGCCATGTTTGATCTCAGGCAATGAGAAATGCCTGCAAAGACCTGCAGCCAGGCTCGAAAGATGGCTGCTACCTGTGTTACTCTTGCCCGAAATAGTTGATGTGTTAGAGTTACCATAAAGAGGCAACCAATTGCCCATCCCGGGATCCATTCCACTCTTTCTCTTCTTCTTTATGTACACAGCAATGCACAATGCCGCAACCACAGCCGCGCCGCCAGCAGCCCCGCCAGCTATTCCAATTACTTCACCCTTGCTCTTGGACCCTGCTGGGGGAGAAAAATTACTTGCTGCAGCAGCCTCAGCGTCTTGAAGCATCTTAGATGGCACAGGATTGGGACCGGCTAAATTCCCACGCGTATCATTGAGCTTAAAGATCTCCAAACCATTAAGAATCGAATCATAGTACTCTGGTTTCTCCGACACAGATGGATGCAATGCCACCCATATTTCTTCGTCACCATCTCTGTCATTAACAAAAGTTGCATAATCCTTGTAAACCGGCACTCCTATGGACCCTGACAAAGCAATAACGTCCGCAGTCTGCTGCGCTGTTTGGTTGTTGAGAAAAATATCAAACACCCTCTGATTAATCCTGGTGAGTTGAAGCTCACAGAAATGCAACCTAACAACATATGTGAAATTTGCATCAACGGTGAAAACCCATGTGAGATTGTAATTCTGATTGAGTTTCGAATTCGGTCCCATCGATCGCGCAGTGCCGTAGACGTTGGGAGGAGCAATGTACTCCGGCAAATTACTAGGATATTTTATGCTAACATTTTTCTCAGCCTGAAATGTGACTCCAAATGCTGCACCGAACAAGTACGGCGAATCGTCGTACCATGTTCTTGTCAGCCCCGAATCATTTCTTGTCGGAATAAACTGTCCACCGACATTGAGCCTAAACATTGTCTGAAGGGAAGAGCTTTGTACATCGATGGTTTGGTCCTGAAACCCGATCATGTTCGCTGGCTGAAACATCTCGGCCGGCATCGAAATTACCTCAATGCCATTGACAAAAGCATAGGACTTATCATGTTGCGACGAGGGTACGAATGTAATGTTGAGATTGCCGGATTGGGCGGGAACGAGTGAGAATTCTCTCATGATGTAGGCCTGCGTGAGAGCTTGGGTTGTAATGGCGGCGCTGAAATTGCGAAGGAGAGAAAACCCGTTTGCGATCACGTCGAAATACGAGTTCGAAGCGTCGAGGCCGTCATAGGAAGACGGATAAAAATGGAGCCGAACCAGAAGGCGCTGCCGTGGGGAAACAAAGAACTTGTAGGATGCTGCAGAGTTGAAAATTCTTGCAGACATGTACGGGATTTGGGAAGGCAGAGAAGGATCTTGGTATTGCGCCGTCGCAGTCTTTGAATTCTCCGAGGATGAAAGAAACCGGGAATCTGGTACCCATCTGCGGCCGTCGGAGTCGGTGCCGCCGCTCGAAGAGCCGCAAGCAATGATGTAAGATTCAGAGCCAGTGTCTTTGCTGAGAACATGAATGGCGTTTAAGGAGAAGGATAATATGAAGGATAATATGATCAGAGA